AGAGATACCTAAGCACTTTCTAATGACGGGCAATCTTTCTGTAAGTGAGCGCCGGCATTTACAACCGTAACATTATGAGTTATTACCTTGCCTAAGGACTCGGCCATAGCCCGCTAACCGGCAGTCTGTCTCGAACGCGTTGGGTCGGGACTGCAGAGGGACGGGACTCCCTACCTCCACTAAACTAAGGCCACCCTGGACCTGTAATGTGAGATTATCATTAATGATATCTGCGATCCTCGCGTCTAAATAGTCATTCAAAATTATCTGCAATTTCCTCCAGCATGGCCACATGAACTCACTTCCCGTCTGTCGTTAACAAGTGTCCGAGATCGTCGTTCCGGTACGGTAAGAATAAATTGATCAATCAGTACTATGCTCGCAAAACGCGCGTAAACTGTACATGTTGCAACAAGTTTGCGGATGGTTTGAGCCACCTATGAAAATAGGTTTGCAGACGTCCTGCAAACGTCCTGAAGAAGTCTCGGTCTGGAAATTTTTTTTGGGCCGTTTTAAAATTGACTCTATATGTTCTGTAGTCAGATTGTACGCTGCGAGTTAGCCGCTGTTGACTAGCCCAACAGTTCTGGTCTGACGTCATCTGTTAAACGAAATAGACTATTTCTGAGCTGCGCGCCCGATTAATGTAAGGCTCTAGAATAGCCGTCCACCCGAATCTCTCAGTTTGCTCTGCGCAATACATATCTTTCAAATGTCCTGCAAGTAAGCAGTCAATGCCATCTCCTGTGTCAGTTTTGCATAGCCCACTAACCTTATACACCGGACGAACCTGATCTGCTGAAGACTAGCGCGCGCTACCGCACCTCGATCTGGCCAAAGTAACTCTGTCAGAAGTTGATGTTGTTGTTGTGTTGTAATGGCCTGTTGCTGCATGAAGCCCCACTATGGCCTGCATCTCTGGTGAAAGAGCAGCTGCCCCCAGCCTGCTCCATCATCCTCCCCGATTTCTATTTCACGCCGCACTCTTTAGGAGGCGAATTATAAGCTCGTATGAACTCAGTTACTTACATAAACGCTGATGGCAACCCGACTTGGCTCTCGCGCAAAATCACGTCACAAACCAAAAGTTGCTTACGCGATTGTCAACCGTATGGTTAAAGTACTGTTATCTCGTTCCAATAACATACAAAAAAAACGAAAAAAATGTAAGCCACTTCTGTTATATATTCACAAAATTTTAGCGGGCAGAGACCGCCCCCAAAATGCGCAACGCGATGCAAGCCATCATACCCTGAATGCAATTCCGTCACACTTACCGGCATACGCGAAAAATAACATGCTGCAAACATACGCGCAAAATCAACGAATACACTGACTCATAATACCGACTTGGTAAGCCTGCCTCACTGCGCACTACTGAACAACTATTGTACCTATCGCTCTATGTAGCCGTTAGTAGCCGTTGAAAGCTAAATGCGCCACCCCATGCGACTGACGCAAAAACAACAACGCTCAAACACGAGGAGGGTGTTGATAAAGGGATACTCGAGTCTGAGCGACAAACACGCGGCTTGACACTCGCTGACAGACGCTACTGTAAGCGTTCCAACAGCAGTCTCGCCTAACGACCATGCGCGATGATGCAGAGCCCCGAAAGAACTATGGCAGTCTACTATTATAGCGCTAGTGCGCCATTACAATACGTTTATCCTAGCTATCCGAACGAATCACGATACGAATATTTCATACTGGAAAAGGTACTTAGCTTGAATGTACAGCTGTTGTCCAGGGCCTCCACTGCTACGTACACGACGAAACCAGTTTACAACACTATCCACATATCCTGTCGACTGCGCCAGATGTAAGAGGTTGATCCTTACGTCGTGTCGTGTCCTGGTCGTCTGGTAGAATTGAAGCATCACTCATGTTGGCTCCCAGGCGCGGGTCCTTATATATGGTGGCAGCCGTGGCCTTGCCTGGCCTTGCCGTGGATGTCTGGTCGAAGCTGTAGGTGAGTCCAGTAGAATGGCTCGACTCGTAGTTGCGCAGTAGACACCTACCAGACCCCCTCGTATAAGTACACTACCAGAGCTATAACTATAAGTTATTATGCCCTTTACTTTAGGCTTAAGTTTAACTGGATTAATTCTTGACTTCTTCTTCTATCCGCACAGTTCCTTATACGAGTCTTTCCGTCTTCGATATATAGGTCCCTTGGAGTTTGAAGACATTACTTACGAGGTACGAGGAGTTCTCAGTTCATGAAACTACATCACAAAAAGAGAGTGAAGCGCCATTTGCATTGTCGTGCGCGCGACCATCTAAATACGAGGCACTTAATAAAACAATCGGATCGGTGCTTTATGCGCGACGTCCATATTATATACCCATAATATAAATATATAATATATACTATAAAACCATAAACATTATCTAATATGTAATAGTACAGACATAATAGAACAAATCATATCAGATTCCTAAAAAAAACTACCATATATCAGTCAAACCGCTACATCATAGCATACAGCGTGTACGTCTCGCAACGTGATACAGCGAATAACTTTCACGAAGTCGCAAAATATGCTACTACTAAGATCGATTCAACAACAGAGAGATTCAAAATTAGTCAAAATGTCTATAGATCAACACAGCGGATTGCAGTAGAAAAGTTAGTAAGTAGCCCTGACAGATAATTAAGTAATCAGGACAGAAGAAGACTAATTCTGATATGGAATGGCAGTAGCATAAAAATCCTCATGTTTATTATATATTATTTTTTTAAATTCATTCATAAATTGATATAGGGCAGACAGAGGAAGGAGCGCAAGAGAGGAGAAGAGAAGAGGGGGCAGAATCAGAGAGAGAGAGAGGGGCGGAGAGAGAGAAGAGAAGGGGCAGAGACAAAAAGAAGAGGGACAGAAAGAGGAATTAAGAGGAGGGAGACAGAGAGATGAAGAAGAGGGGTGGAGAGAGAGAGAAAGAGAGGACGAGATAGAGAGATGGAGGGGAGGAGAGAGAGAAGAGAAAGAGAATTTGATAGTAAATAAACATTATATAGAAAAAAAATATATATATAGTAAACAGATAGGCCAAAATAATTAAATTTAAAGGCCATCAATGTGAGGCTATCGTACGAAAGTAGGAGCGAAGGGAAGAAGGGGAGGGGAGAGGGACCCT